GAGGGCTTGCCTCCATCAGATGACGTTTATTGGACATTTGAAGTCCTTAACGATAACATAATTGAGTGATCTTAGGCTCGTTGAATTTGTCTCGTTAAGATGATCGATTCGACTGTAAACTTATCAGATTTGACATATGTTTGAACTTCCAAATATATCCGAATAACTTCCAAAAATGATTTAATATTTTGATTAGGGTTTGATTTGACTCAGATTTTACCAATTTTAGTATCATTGGGCCCGTCTTGTAGAATCAGTCATTTTGACTATAAGTTTGTTGAATCGGAGCTCTTGAAGACTTTTAATTAAAGCTTGAATGTTTTTTGCTCAAAAAAGCACATTGAATTCCATGTCATGCATTAAGATTCATACAAAATGTTGGAAATTTGTTGATGCGTATCAATAATAATTAATTTTGGGTATTTATATGCTAAATTAAAAGATTTTATTTGGATAAATATCAGTTATTGATTGATTTCACTAAACTTAATTTGATAAAAAAATCATAAATATAATCAAAATAATCTATAAAACAAAAAAATAATATTCATGTTCAACGAAATTTAATGAATTCACTTAATTAACATACACATGTTGAAATCATAGAACCAGTTTAACATAAAACAGAAAATTAACATAAAATTTTAATTTGTTTAGAAATTAAAATATCAAATCAATCAACTTCATTTATCACATTAATGATTTAACAAAACTCTAAAAAAGTTTTTATTCTAAATTCACCGCCAAATTAAAAAGTATATGCCAAAAAAATGCAAGCAATATAATATGGATTTAACCTAAAACTTAGACATTTTTCCTTAAAATATGCTTTTGAATAAGAAAATAACAAACCTACAAATTCTTCTAAGAAAATAGAGCTTGTCCTATTTTGTAAACCCAAAAAAGTGAATAAAGTTAACTGATGAAATTCCAATTTGAAACTTCAAATAGATGGAAGATAAGATTGGATTTCAACTTTAGGTGCTTGGAGTGTGGTTGAAGCACCAAAAATCTTATTGGCTAAAAGAGAGCTCTACAGAGAGATGGAAGGTAAGATTGGATTTCAACTTTAGGTACTTGGAGTTAGGGCTGTAAACGAGCCGAGCTTGAGCGGTGTGGTTGAAGCTCCAAAAATCTTATTGGCTAAAAGAGAGCTCTACAGAAGCGAGGGAGGATTTGGACACAAAATTAGGATTGGGCGATGCAATTTTTCCCACAAAGTGCAGGATTTTATGACAGAATCTATTTTTAAGATCTCATACAATGCAGGATACTAAAAACTCCTCATAATCGAATTGATTATGACAAACAATCTACTAAAAACTCCTCATAATCGAATTGACTTCAAATAGGTTGCTAAAGAAAACTATGTTTTATTTGACAAATAATTCTATTTTTTTTATGTAGTGAAATAGTTATTTCTCTTTCTCTTTGCCCCTCTATCATAGATGATTCCTTCATTATTTTCATCATTGAAGTGCTTCTAGTAAGTGCTTCTTTTCAATTGCTTCAATCTAAGTATCCATTAATTTTCATTAGTATTTGCCAAAAGGCGTGTGGTCCCAAACTTAATATAATAAATCTACACACAATCATGTCAATTCTATTCCAATTGAGACATCAACAAATGTACGAGGAACAAAGAGCGGAGTCGGAAAGCTTTTTTAATGAGGGCACAGATTAACAACTTCAAATCTTGTCTCATTTTTTTTTATCTAGTCCTGGAATCTATATTAAAAATATTATTTTATTTTAATTTTTTAATAAAAAATTGATGACAAAAAATATTAAAAACGTTTTAAATGTTGTATAATTATTTTATTAGCAATACTATATTCATTTCATTTTGATATACAAAAGATTTACAAATTTATTTAAATTCATATGCTACATATATATGTATTTATAATACACTTTAGTAATCATATATTTTAGAATGTATGAGAAACATAAACTATTTTTTTAATAATATTGTAAAGCATTAAATATATAAGGAGTTAAAAAACCCAATATAAATTTTAACTAAAAAGTATAGTTAGTTTAAATAAAATATGATTAAAAATTTAGTTTAAAATTAAATTATTTCTTATATTATTAAGTAAAATAATTAAAAAATGATTAAAACTAAAGTGAAAAAAATTTATTTATACCGACTCGATTAAAGCGTTGATATAAGCTAGAAAATTCATGATGACAAAGTGAAGGATTATCGTCTTAGTGTAGTACGAAACCCAACACACGCTCAAATAGAAGAAGAAATCAGTAGTGATACAGGTAGTTTTTATGTGGAAAACTCAAAAAGAGAAAAACTCACGGGACCTTGCCCAATTAAAATGTTCTAATATGAGTTGACGATTACAGGTACAACCCCTTATCACATGGGCATGAAACGGTTACACAATTTGTTGGATTACAAACGTCTCTGCATGAATGATCCCGTAGTAGGGAGCAGGCGATATTGGTGGCTTCTGATCGTGGTGGTGCCCGGAAGGCGACAATAGTCGAAAGGAGGCAGCGGTGGCCAGAGATGGCAGCGAGTGAAGGGCGGAGAAGAGCCAAAGGAGGTGACGACTGAAGGGCAGATGCGGTCGGAGACGACGACAGACATAAGGCAACAACGACGGTTCGAAATGGTGGTGGCTGAAAAACGACGACATCTCGAGGATGGTGGCTACGACGGCTAGAGGGCGTCATCTGCGGCCAGAGTTTGCATTTGCGGTAGAAGACGATAGCGGCAGCCAGAGGGTGTTGGTTGCGGTGGCTGGATGGTGTCGACGACGGCGGCGACCGAGGGGCGGGCAGGGTCACAAGGGCCAGAGATGCCAATGCATGAGGTTGAACTGCAACTCCCTTATCTAGAATCTACACTTTCTCTTGCTTTGAGTCTCTCTCTCTTCTCTCATGAGGAGTTTGGGGCTCTATTTATAAAATCTAAATTGTAAATAAAACATAAATCTAAAACACTCTCATCAATCAAACGATGCTTGATGGACATTTGACGGTCTTAATGATGTCGGAATTGAATGATCTCGGGCTCATCGGTTTCATCTCGCCGAGATGCTCAATTTTACTATAAGCACACTATATTTAACACCTATTTGACATTCCAATTATTCCTAAAAAACTTTCAAAAGTGATTTATTGGCTTGATTCAACTCGAATTGGGCCGATTTTTGTGCCGTTGGCTCCGTCTCATCGAGCCAGTCAGTTTGACTATAAGTTTGCTCAATTCAAAGCTCTTGATCACTTTGAAAGAAGTTAGAATGTCTTTAGCTTTAAAAATTTGTCTCTAGATCCGTGTCATGTTTTGAGATTCATGCTCAATATAAGAAATTTGTTGAAGCCGTATCAGAATTGACGCTGAATTAAAACTTTATATAAACTATAACTAAAAAAATATAATTTAACAGAAATAAAAGAAGATTAAAAAGTAATATAAATTAATATAGCTTTTATGTTATTAACTTAAAAATAATTACATTTCTTCATCCTTCTCAAGAAAAATATAGCATTTTTAATTAATAAAAACATATTTTTTGAGAAAGCAAAACTAAAGTATATAAATATATATATATATAAATTAAAGGAGAAATACAAAAACACTATTGTTTGTTATGAGAGTTTTTTGTTTCAGTCCCACAAAAAAGATAATAAATTCTTACCGTTACTCAAATGGAAAAAGCTCAACCCATTTACTTGACAAGTCCAAGGAGCACTTGGGCTTAAAAATGAGTGTTTTGCGGTATGTTTGAAATACGTTTGGCTGATTAGAAGAATAACATATGATCTAAAAAAAATATAATTTCGATTTATTATTTCGCTATTTATTTACGGCATAAAAAATAAACAACATCTTGACAGATGAGCATTAGCTTTGGCTTTTAGCTTTTGTTGTTACAAAAGCTGCATAGTCAAAACGTGCTCTTTTTTAAGATTTAGCTCCACTCATATACGTAACATACCAAATACTTAACTTTTAATAATATTATTTTAAGGAAAATATATTAATTTATTATTATTACAAGAACATATAAAATCCCCGGAAATTTTATATTTTACAATTAAAATTATGTTTATATTTATTTATATGGAAGAAAATATATCATGTTCTAGAGGATATTGACATTAAAAAAAATTAAAATTTTATAGAATTACCTTCAATATCTTGGAAGCTTTAAAAGCAAGACATACTCATCCACTAATCATTCACATATAAAATCCCCGGAAATTTTATATTCTACAATTAAAATTATTTTTATATTTATTTATATTTATTTATATGGAGGAAAATATATCATGTTCCAAAAGATATAATCTTAAAGAATTACCTTCATTATCTTGGAAGGTTTAAAAGCAAGACATACTCATCCACTAATCATTCAATCTATACTATCATTCTATCTCCACTTCTTTAAGCCACTTGAGGTCAAGGTCTCGCTTGTTTACGAGTAGAAACCATACGATCATGCCTTGAGGCCAATTATTGTTTAAGTGATTGTTTGGGGCAAATGTAACTGTTTGATGAAATAACTATGAAATTGTTGAAAAAAAAAACTGTTGTTCAAATTGTTACGATGATAATTACAAATTTTTTTTTTTTCTGAAAAATTCAAATTGTAAAGTTCTGACAGCCACCATAAATAACAAGGTCTGGTGGTAAAACACAATTTTTAGTTGTAATTTTTTAAGAATGCAGACAAAACACATTATTTCAAATAGAAAAAATTACGGTATGACACCACACTGCACAACCACCAAATGCATTATGAATTCTAATGAAGCCAATAATTTTATTGACTTGCAAGGTATCCTAATAAAATTATGTCCACTTTATAACTAATCCATAATTACTAATTATTTTCAAAATCAAATGATTTGACTAGAATAAATTTTAAAATTAATTCAAAATAAAATGATTTTTATTTACATCAAATATATTTTTGGTCAAATTAAAGCATGCGGCCTAATTAAAACGGGCGGGCAGCTCCTGAATTCCAATCTACTCATTCTAGTATTGGACCAGTCAAGGGGGCAGCTCAACGAAGGCGCAACGGCGCCTACTTTTGGTCATTTTTTTTCTTTTCTAATTCAGTTTTCTTCCTTTTAATTCACGTGGATAACACCTTCCCAGCGAGGAGACGATCGAAGATGTGCGGGGTTGTTGGGATCCAAGTCTCTGAATCTGATTTTGTTCCGTAGAGTAGTTTTCTTTTCCAGCCTAGATCGGCCGGGGAGATGCCCTGCTTCTTCCCGTGCTTCGATTGGAATGATGAGGCGGCGGAATTCGTTGGCGGCGGCCGTCAGGAGGATGAGAAAAGGGAGGAGAAGCCAATGATGCCCCCGAGCGTTGATAGATTGCCTGCGGGTGAGCGCTGATGGTTTGTTCTCAATTTGCTGCAGGTTTTGTTGAGATTTTGTTATACTTTCTTTTACGTGTGTGAGTATAGCTTGTCTCATGTGGTTCGAAGGAGGTGTTTTGATTGTGCTTATGTGGTCTCAGTCATATTTATGCCGGTTGATGGAATATTACTTGAGCTGGATTTTGAGGTTAATATGGCTGATGGGTACTGTGCTTTATGATTTCCGAATTCTCTTTTCCTTTTTGGGGTTTTTGCTTTCCGCTTCGTTTGAACTTGTACTTTAACTCAACTTTCCTCGGGTAAGTGTGTAGATGATCCAGTGACGACTTCTTTATCTTAGAATGTTAGGAGCAGTGTTTGATTGAGCAATTTTTTTTACAAGGGCTTTGTTTGCACTTGCAAATTGTTTGAGCTGAGCTGCATAAATCCAATTATTTTCTTAAATTCCTTGTTTCTCCATTTTTAGGTTAAATCCTGGATTTAGTGAACCCTCATGAGGAAGTAAGATTTAAATGATTTACATCTTTTTTCAACTTTGTGCCTCTTCTTCTCTCTCATTCAAAATCTACATTTTAGAAATACTTATCAAACTTTTTGGTAGGATTTAACTAGATTTAGTATCTTTTATGTCAAACAATTTTCAGGGTTTCACACTTTCAAGATTTACTATAAATTTGGAGTTACATGATTTTCTAAATCCTGCTTAACTTAAATCCGCAGTCAAACAGCACCTGAGTTTCTGAGTTTGTAATGCTTTTTTAAATTTTCAGGGAATGGAGAATTGAATGCTAGAAGATGTTTTGATTCAAAAAGAGAACATGTGAATGCTTTTAAAAAGGAACCCGCTAATGCTTTGCACAAGAGACAATTGGATAGTTCAAAGTTGGAGGCATTGAATCAAAACAAGTGTTCTGGAAGTGATTTTTCTGCAAGGACCTTCACCTTCCGGGAACTCGCAGCTGCTACGAAAAACTTTAGACAGGAATGCTTTCTAGGAGAAGGGGGATTTGGCAGTGTGCACAAGGGACGACTGGAAACAGGAGAAGTATGCTTGTTATTTTTTTGTCTAGATTTACTTGAAATCGAAGTTTCTTTTATGCAGTGCCAAAAGCACACCAACCTTACAAATTCTTAATCCGCTAGTCTAGAGTTTGAAGCCATCCTTTGAGGTTCTACTGTCTAAGAATTTGTTGATTTATTTGTTAAACTGATAAGGATATCTGCTTGCAACCCTAGACTGTGGCTGTGAAGCTGCTGGATCGAAATGGGCTTCAAGGGAATAAAGAATTTCTAGTGGAGGTTCTCATGCTCAGTTTATTGCATCATCCAAATCTTGTAAACATGATTGGCTACTGTGCTGATGGAGATCAAAGGCTTCTGGTGTATGAGTACCTGCCACTGGGGTCATTGGAGAATCATCTACACGGTAAGCATTTGATTTTTTCTGTCTATATTTCATATAATTCATTTATCATGCAGCAATGTCAGGGTTAATTTTGCAAAATAGGTGCAACACTCCATGAGGAGATTAAAGTTTGGTTTCAAAGAATTTATTAAATGATGCTTTTTTAGTTTTTATGCTGTTCCTCAATTCCTTTCACTGGAGTAGTCCGACTAGGGGAAAAGTTATCCTGAAGCATATGATATAGGCGTCAATGTCTACTGAAGAACTGGATATTTTTATTGTCTATAACAATACATAAGGATCTTATCATCCTCTACAACTTGATGTGATTTCCATTCGAGGTGGTATTCTTGGCAAGAATTAGCATAAGCACTGTTTTGTTGATTCATCATCTCTTTTTCTATCAATTAGTTTTCTTTTATGCTTATTTCATGAAAAAAAAATCACATTAAACATTCTTTATGTTGTCTTTGTAAAGAGAAAGGGATTTATTTGGCGGAATATGAAAGCAAAAAAAAAAGTCTCACTAGATTGGTTGAATTATGTGTTATATTTATTTATTTTGCTATTAGAATCCGAAAATTTGGCCGACTTCCAAAACTTCAAATGATCTAAATATAAACTCATTGAAAAATGTTTTTGATACCAGACCATAATAGAAATAGAAATATTATTGCTGAATTCAAATAATGTTACAACGACGACTCTTTAGAGCAGAAAAATAAACGAATAACAACATAAATGACACATGAGGGCGGCAACGATGGGGTGACTGACATGTTCATAGAATATGCTTGTTTATCATCTTTACTGTGTCTTTTTATATATTTTATTATGGTTTTGGAAGGTATTTTGGATAAAATGCATGTATCGGGCGCAAGGAGCAAGTCAGGAATCAAAACGAGGAAAAAGGAGCAGAGTGGTATTCTGGCGCCTAGTTGCTAGGTCTTGGCGTCTAGGCGCCAAAACCAGTCCCTTGGTTTGCACAAAAAGAGAGATTGGAAGCCCGACGCTAGATTTTTAGTGTCGAGGCGTGGACCTGGAGCACTGGGGTGCTGCCTTGCAGCGCCTAGGTGCCCGAATTGAGGAAGATATCCCGAGAGCTTGGAAACCCAGGCTGGATTCGTGGCGCTGAGGCGCCTTAAGTGCAGCGCCTAGGCGCGCCGCAACACTAGCGCAGGCACTGTAGAAGAACGATTAGCTGTGCCCTGATGCTACCTATGGATACCCTGGTGCCTCCTATGGGTGCCTCGACGCGAGTACCCAAAAATGGGCAATTATCATAATTCAAAACTTTAGTTTGGGGAGAGATGCATAAAATGCTTGATCACTAATTAAGAATGGCTTTTTAACCATTTTTCTTCTGTAAATTCTAGAGGGAGAAATCTGGAGGAGAAGACCACTCAACTTGCAAGGAGATTACAAGAGAAGATACGAGTGTTTGTGAGGATTGAGAGAGTTTATTGCTTGCTATTGGACTATCCCGCTTTACTGTGAAAGAGATGAGTACAATTAAGTTATATTTTCTTCAGGATTTCCTTGTAAATACTTGGTTTTTGATGTTTATTCATAATACTAAATATATGTTGTGAAAGTTTTCATGAACAGCGAGTAGTTTACTTGATTATCTCTTTAATTATGATGGTGATTGGATATGATTAAGAGTTTGAGATTGCTTAACTTGATTTGATTTTGAGTGTGTTGAGTTAATTTGTGAACTTAATTTACCTTCTGCTTGACCAATGGATTGTTAAAACTTTTTGTGAATTCTAAGATTCGAAAGGATTCAGTATGGTGCGAAAAAGTTAACTTCATTGGAATAGGGATATAATCAATGAGTTTAAGCAATTTTTTGGGGAATATTTTCTTATGGACAGATCAAGAGTTTAGGGAACTAAGCTTGAGACTGCTAATCTTCCTTAGTCCACCTGAAGGGGATAAGGAAGAATTTTTCTTCTGATTAACACTATTTTTAAATCTACTCCTTAGTTTTATCTATCACTTGATTAATTAAAGAGAGAAATCCTTAGCACTTGAATTTTCTACAAGAATCTTTTTGCTTGCTAAAATAGATTACTTTTTAAATTTAGGATAGATCAACAATTGAATTAGCAAATCAAACTTTTCAGGCATAGGTTGAAAATAGTAGGCTAGAACTTTTTCTTTATTGAATTTTTCTTGTTCCCTGTGGGGTTGACAACCGAACTCAAATGTGGTACATTGATATGCCACGTATACTTGTTTGAGCATCCGGTGCTTTGCAACACCTAGTGTGTGTCAAATTTTTGCCGTCGTTTTCTGGGAACAACAATTAATTTGATTTAGGAAAATTTTAGTTGAACTTGTAGGTCTTTGACTTGAAAATTATAATCATTTGTTCCCTGTATTTAAATTGTTTTGTCTTTGTTTATAAAATTTCAAAAATCGTTTGTATAATATTTTCTTAATTTTGTAAGTGATTCTTGTCTATTTGCTGCATAATATTTGTGATGTGCTTTTATTTTGTTTGTTTGTTCTCTCTTTTCCTTAGAGTCACTTTGCTAGTGACCTAGTAGGTGTATGCGCAGCGAAGGATCATCTGACCATGAACCCTACGACTTTGAGCTTGAGAGAAACGTAAAAAAATTAGAAAACAAAAAAGGCTTAAATAAATTTTAGAAGAGAAGGTGAATAATCCTTAGAATAACCAAAATGTCCATGAACATCAAGATATGCCTAGACCTCTAAGAGTTTATGCCAACCCTACGGTAGATGAAATACACAAAAGTATCCATAGTCATGCTGTAGAAGCCAATACCTTTGAACTGAAGTCTGCTAGCATCCAAATGATGCAAAATAGTCAGTTTGGGGGGACACATTTTGAAGATCAAAACATTCATTTGACGAGTTTTTTAGAACTTTGTGCTATATTTCGCTAGAACAATATCTCCAACGACGCCATGAGGCTAAGACTTTTTTCTTTCTCTTAGAAGGATAAAACTAAAATGTGGCTAAACTTTTTAGCTCTCGGATCAATTAGGACTTGAATAACCTTGCCCATAAATTCTTAGCAAAATACTTCCCACCTTCAAAAATGACTAAACTTAAAAATGACATTGCTTCTTTTTACCAACATGATGGTGAGTCTATGAAGCCTAGGAAAGGTTTAAAGTACTTCTTAGAAAATGTCCCTACCATGTTTTATCAGACAGGTTAATAATTTAGACTTCCTACAATGGATTTGTAGGATCTCTTAGGTCAATTATAGATGCTGTCGCAGGTGGTTCTCTCATGTCGAAATCTTTCGATGAGGCCTAGTCTTTGATTGAGGAGATGACTACGAATAACACTAATGGCCTTCGGATAGAGTCAACCCTAGGAAGGTAGCCAACATTTATGACACAGATGTTTTTTTGATTTTGACTTCTCAAGTAGTAGCTATCTCTAGAAAGCTAGATCAGTTAGGGTTAAATCAACCACACTAATCACCTATAATAGAGAAGAATTCATATGGACAACTGGTGGGTCCTAGTGCTTTATCTCTCGAGACCCTGAATGCCATTAACAATAAGTTTAATATCCCTTATTCTAATACCTATAATCCCGAGTGGAAGAATCATCTCAATTTTAATAGGAACAATAATAGTGAAGGGATGGGAAACCAATAGTGGTGGAATAATCAAGTAAGTCCATTGAGGAATTGGAATATTCAGGATAGTATCAATTCAAGACTCCTTACCCACTTGACTTTAACTCAAACCAACAGTTTAAGGAAAAAAAGTTGTCTTTGGAGCAAGTAGTATTGCAGATAAGCAATCAATTGCAGAGTCAAGCTGTAGCGATAAGAAACATTGAAAATCTGTTGGGCCAAATAGCCAATTCCCTTAGTATTCGACCCCAAGGAACTCTTCATAGTAACACTGAGTTTAATCCAAAGGAGAAGAGTGAAGAACATGTGAAAGCCATTAAGTTGAGAAGAGGAAGAGAGTTGGAGGAAGTGAGTAGAAAAGAGCCTAAGGTGGTAGAAGAGAACCCTGCGCTTGAAAGATCAATAGAAGACTCTTCTAAAGACTTGGGAAGACCGACCACACCCCTTAGGAAGGATTTAAAAGGGCCACCTCTATCATTTCCCTAGAGACTTCAGAAGCACAAATTGGATCAACAATTTTTTTGATTCATAGAAGTGTTTAAGAAGTTAATCATCAATATCCCTTTTGCTGAGGCTTTGGAGAAGATGCCTAGTTATGTGAAGTTTATGAAAAATATTTTGAATAAGAAGAGAAAGTTATGTGACTTTGAGACTGTAGCACTTAATAAGGAGTATAGTGCTATCATACAGAAAAAATCTATCTTAGAAACTTAAGGATCTTGGGAGTTTCACCGCTCCCTGTGCCATGGGAGAGAAATTCTTTGGGAAAGTTTTATGTGACTTAAGTGATGACATTAACCTCATGCCCCTGTTTTTCTTTAAGAGGTTAGGATTAGGTGAAGTCCAACCCACCACTGTATCCCTTTAGCTTGCTGACCGATCTCTTATTTATCCTAGGGGGATATAGAGGATCTCTTCATTAAGGTGAATAAGTTTATCTTCCCAGGAGATTTCATTATTTTAGATATGGAGGAGGATAAGTACATTCCCATCATTTTAGGTAGACCTTTCCTGGCCACTGATAGGGTGACAATTAATGTACGGAAGGGAGAGTTAACTATAAGAGTAAATGATCATGAGGTTACTTTTAATGTTTTAAAATCTATGAAATTTTCTTCTAAAGCAACTGAGGATTCCTGTTTGAAGCTGGATTTAGTGGACCAATTTTGTAGAAGCCAATTTCAGGAGATGTGTGAAGTTGATCCAGTAGAGCAGGGCTTGATTGAGGATGATAGACATGACTCTAAGGAAGAATCAACCCTACTTTTAGAGGCTAGTCCGAGGATTTATAGGGAGAGGTTTGAGTTGTTGGACACCACTTAAAGTCCTATACCTTTAGTCCCTTCTTTAGAAGAATCACTTGAATTGGAGATGAAAATCCTTCCAAAATATC